ATATATATATATATAATGTCCGAGTGTAGATGTTTCTCTTCTTTCCTTCCTTCCTTTTTTGTGTTGATAGCACAAAAGTCTCGCTCTCGCTTGGGCCATCGTTTTGTGTTTCTCTTCCGACAGGACAAAAATATTTGTCAGGCATGTGACCAGCCGGTAAAATAGGCAAGGCAGCAAACGAACAGACAAAACAAAAAAAAAAACATAATCGATACGTCGAAAATGCCAGACAGACTGATGTGCGAAGAGGAGGGCATGGGATGGGAGAAGCTGAAAAAAAAAAAAAAAAACGAGCCAAATGTCATGAAGAAACAAACGAAAAGAAATGTGATGGTGTTTTACCACCACCACTTCGTCGCAATAACTGTCCGTATCCGCTTTTCCAAATGCTCCCACTTTCCACTCCTTACACAATAAGAACCTCTCTTTAACCACTCAAAACACTCTCATTTTGATTCCTTCTTTCTTCTTTTTTTTTTTTTTTATCCCTTCATTTTATAAGGGACATATTTACTCCTTCCTCAGCACTTCTCTTTTTTTTTTTCTATTTTTTTTTTCATTTTCATTTTCATATTTTTTTTGGTTTTTCTTGATGAGGAGAAAGTTCACCAACTTTCGCCTTTTTGATGTTATACTATTGATTTTTTTTTTTTTTTGTATTCCTTACCATAAAACAAAATGCTGTAAAGGAATCCCATTGCTATGTACCCCTTCACCCGACTCTTGTACGCGTGTGCCTCTTACTGACGGGGCATCGACTGCACTGTCTGGGCGGCCATCATGTACGGGTGCTGCATGGCCATCATCTGCTGCTGGGCGTACGGGTTGGCGGCGGGTGGGTAGGCGCCGTAGCCGCCGTAGCCCCCATACCCGCTGTACGGCCCGAACCCGCCGGCGGCGTTATTGCGGTTCCGCTGGTGACCGTTCGCCGCCAGCGCCACCTTCAGGCGCTTGTTGAGAATGCTGAAGCCGTTGAGTGCGGTAATCGCCTGCTGCGCACTGGAGGCGCTGTGGAACTTCACAAACCCGAAGCCGCGGCTTTGGCGGGTTTCGCGATCACACACAATCTTCACAGACTCAATTTGGCCATAGCGCTCAAATAATTGTCGCAGCTGGACCTCATCAACTGTGGTGGGGATGTAGTTCACCATGAGATTGCGCAGCAGATCAGGTTCAGCACTCATTTGAGCAGGAACCTGCTGAGACTGTGGCTGTGGCTGTTGCAACGGTTGCTGGGTTGCGTAGTATTGCATCTGTTGGGACATGATAAAGGTCAAAAAATTGTATGATTCCTTTTTTAAAAATATTCTTTCTTTCTTTCTTTTTTTTTTAGATATTTCGTATTATTTGCTGTATTGCAGAATGTATGCAATTCTTTTCATAATAACAAAAGAGGATAAAAAAAAGAATTTATGAATAAAGGAAATACAAGGAAAAAAACAAGAATACAGAGATAATCAAAATACCAGGTAAAAGAATGTTGAATGATGTTGTTAAATATATATTTGACAAGTATCAAGGATATTTCATTCAACAATCACCTTCATGTCGGTAAATATCTGTCTATTTATTCTGTCTGTTCGTGAATCTCATCAATTCACCCCTTTCTTTCGTTGATTGTAAGCTTGTTTTCTTGTTTTTTTTTTTTTTTTTTTTTTTTTTTTTTTTTTTTTNTCACCTTCATGTCGGTAAATATCTGTCTATTTATTCTGTCTGTTCGTGAATCTCATCAATTCACCCCTTTCTTTCGTTGATTGTAAGCTTGTTTTCTTGTTTTTTTTTTTTTTTTTTGTTTTTTGTTTTTTGTTTTCTTCCATTCCCAACCATCCACTTTTTTCAAACTCTTCCACTCCCATCTCACCCCCTCCTTGGATACCCAGTAAGGAAGGAAGGATTACTTGATCAGTATATCAGCATGAGATGCTCTCTTCCTTTTGAAGTTGTAGTTGTTGTTAATCTTGCTGCTCGTATAAAGCAACGGTGAGTTTCTCCAGTGAGGCAACACGTTCGAGCACTGCCTTTACAGGATCGTCACTAGGAAAGGCTGCACCATTGCTCAACTTCATATTATTATTATCGTCTCTCTGTGATAATGCTTGATTGAGGTCTTTCTGCAGGTCGCGGTAAATCCCCTCTCGCTCACTTACAAGTTCAGCGAGTTGACGTCGCAGGACTTCCTGTGTTCCGCGCTCTTCCTCCATGTGGCGCTGCAACTGCGCAAACTCACTCTTGTAGACGGCATCCTTCACGAGTAGAAACTCACGAACTTTCGCCTCTGGGAGGGATTGTTGAGAAAAAACAAATTGTTGCAGTTGATGTTGATAGTTATACGATGTTTCACGACGGTAAAGGACATTATTGGCACGCTTCAAAAATTCAACAGCCTGTTCTCTCTCGTGTCCAGTCACACCACCTTCGTTCTCATCTTCATCCAACAATGAATTGACGGCATCTGCAAGATATTGCAGAGTTATGCGGTTACTATTGGCGGTCCCCTCACGATTCTCAGGATCTTCATAGAGCACAAACTCTAGTAGTGACAGAGCGAGGCGTCGGTCTTCCTTTAGTTCCGCCTGTGCTGACGTTCCACGAACGACATGAAGTGGTAAAAGATGACGTTCCATCCACGGAATAAGACCGCTTTCTGCAGCTTCTCTGGCAGGAAAAGCAGCAGCAACACCTTCACCACCTTTATCTTTCCCGTTTACAGCTAAAAGAGGCTGTTGAAATAGATAAGGTCCAACACGACGCATAACATTTCTCGCTGTAATGCGGCTAACACGCAGAATACTTGGCATCCCATCTGTTGGAGCTCCTCGTGGCAAACAAGCAAGAAGATCCAAAAGAGCTACGAGGACACGGCATCCCTCACTCCTAAGGGCTTCTGGAGTCGCGTATTTCACCACAAGAATTACACACTGAAAAAGGGCGGCAATCACCGGTGAAGAGAAGAGCGGTCTGTGTGAGAGCAACAATGACAGAGAACGGAGATTCACAATCGATATATGCGAGAGTTGAAAACACGCAGAATGAGACTCCACACTTCCCCCTTGCGGTACAGAGGTAGAGACGAGCAACTCATTGTAGGCAGCCAGTACATTCTCAACTGCATCAAGGATGAGGCCCTCTGCGTTAAACCCCTCGTTACATGAATTCACCAATGCGGGGGATAATAGTGGGGACAACCACTGTAATAATACCACATCATTGTGTATTTTTTCAGGATCAACATCAACAACAACACCGCTAGCTTGAGCCGCCTCAAGAAGAACTGCGTCAAGCCTCAAGCGTCTGTTATCATTATCGTCACCGTCACCTGATCGCTGCTGATAGGGAGGCATAGTGGACGTACTGCTGCTCTGTAACATATATACTTTAGATCCCAAAAGTTTTCCCTCTACGACTTTCTTCAATTTCTCCCCTTCCCCTTTCTGTACTCGGAAGGGTCTATTATCTTTCCAAGACACCGTTTCCTCTCCGCACATACGCACACAGACACACACACAGAGACATAAAAAAAAAAAAAACATTTTAAACAAGAAAAGCAGAAGAAGTGAAAAGAAAATTAGTAATCACCTACAACCAAGAGAAACATAAAACAATATCCACCAGATAAAGTAATAATACTCATTAAATAAAAGAAAAAAAAATGTATATTATTTTTTTTTTCTTTTTGCCGCAGTATCGATATCCAAACAACCGTCTGAGGTGTCCATGAGAGTTGATTGAGTCATCTTTTTCATGCGTACAGAACCTTCCTTCTTAACTCCTGTAACTGAACATTATCAGAGGTGCCTCTGCTGCCCCTGCACTTTACGTCTCAAAAGAAAATAAATTCGAAACCAGACTGTGAAGGAAAAATGCAGGACAAAGAAGAAATAATAATAATAATAAAAAACATATTAGAAAGACAACTACTTCACTGTTCATCGAGTATTCGCTTCTGTGGATCCGTCACTTTTAACAGCAAGGGAAAAAAAAATTCTTAAATAGAAGAAACAAAAATAAATAATAAATTCATCAGCCAACCGCTAGAGAGTGAATCCGTCGCATTTTTTTTTTTTCGTTTTCTTTTTTTTTTTTTTGCGTTGTCAGCCTTTTTTTCAATTTCCACTTATTTTAGTTCTTTTTCTTTTATATATGTATTCTTCTTGTTTTTTCTTTTTTTTTTCCCACGGTGCTCACTCACCGAAACTGATGGCAATAATGGATTTTCAGCCTCAGATATTTGGGGGCTATTTTTCCAACCATTCATTGTTTTGTACATTGATGTGTGAAATGGAATCGCAAACCATCCATGAACAAATCGTCAAAACCTTTTACAGAGTTTAGTTTCCTGTGAGTCTTCATTTCATTTGTTGTCGGGTATATGATCCATTTTTTTTTTTTTTTTCTTTTGCTCTCCTTTTTCCTTGGGAGCATTACACCTTTCAACCGCATATTTTTTTTTTTTTTTCTACCCGTTCTATCACAGTGAAAGGAAAATGGACGTACAATGTTGGCAAAACACAACTCTCAACTGTTGTGGGAAATACCAAAAGTACATATGTACACACACACACACAGAAAAAAAAAAAAAGAATCTCCAAGAAGACACACTTAACCCAGTACAACAGCTATTGTTGCATCTGCCTCTCCTGCTGTCGCGCTAACAAAATCTGTTGATAAAAAATAGCTTGCAAAGCCATCTGCTGCTCCATGGAGAAACACATTGCTGAGGTCCGCAATGCCTTGTAACTTTCCATTGCTGCTTCCACATTGGCGTATGCTACTTTCAGACGTTTCCCCACTATGTGGTAGCCGTTGAGCCCGTTTATAGCATATGTTGCACTAAAGAAATGCAGATACTTCACAAAACCATACCCACGACTCTCTTTCGTCTCCTTATCATAGATAATCTTTACACTTTCAATGGGACCAAACTGGGAGAAAAGGTGGTAGAGTTCCGCCTCATCCATTAGCGGTGGAAGATAATTCACGATAAGGTTCCGCAGAGGATCTGGGTCTGTGGCACAACCAGGTCGATAAACAGGAGTAAAAGAGCCACCACTGACGGGTTGCTCATCTACACTCTCTTGAGGGGTTACTCTGGGTGTAGCGCTAGATTCAACTACGTTTTCTTTCTGCTGTGTCTGTAATTCCTGATCCTGCTCTTGATTCTGCTCCTGCTTCTGCTCCTCCTGTGGAGGAATCAGTGGAGAAGACGTCTTCTGCTCCATGGATACGTTCTCCTCACCTGAATCCATGTTCTCACCTTATTTTTTTCTTTCCAGTTTACCCTTAGGTAATTTGTCAAACTCTTCCTCCCTTTTTTTCATTTAAATCATATCAAAAAAACATATATAATAATCAAGAAAGAAGAAAAATAAAACAAAAATAAATAATAATAAAAATAATAACAATAATAATAAAAGCAAGGGTGTGAGCATACTGGAGAAAAGGAAAAAAAAAAAAAAAACAGGTGGGGCATATCACCGGAAAAAAAAAACTGAGAGCAAATCCATTAATCAAGTACTGCTATGGTGTTTTTTTTTTTTTTTCTTTTCTATTTTAACGAAAACAACCAAATGGAGGTGCATATGACTTCTTCTCCCTTACGGAAGAGTTTTCCACAGTGCTAGATGCATCGCAAGAAGAAAAAAAAAAAAGAATATTTTCTTGTTGTGAGTTAACGCCCTCATTCACCTTTTTTTTTCTCTTTGTTCTCTTTTTTTTCGTTTCTTTGTTTTTGTTTTTTTGTTTTTTCCGTTTTCATTTTCGGTTTTACCTTTTTCTTCTTTTTACTTCCTCGTTCGTGTTATTCTTGCATTCCTGGTTGACGCTGGCAGCCTCCAGAGCGGTACCCTGAGAGAGCCCCACAAGTTGGCAGAAGAGGGGATTTGTGCATAGTTCCTCAAAACTTCCCTGTGCCGCCACGCGTCCTTTATCAAGTACGACGATATGATCTGCCTTGCGGATCATGCTGAGTTTGTGTGCGAACATGAGGACGGCGCGCTTCTCCCGTCCACGTCGTGCATCTTCAATAAGGCGGCTAATAGCGTCATGTACGACAACCTCAGACTCACTGTCCAACGCGGATGTGGCTTCGTCTAGGATGAGGACATTTGGGGATCGTAGGAGTGCCCGTGCGATGGCAATACGCTGCTTCTGTCCACCGGAGAGTGCGCGTCCGCCCTCGCCAACGAAGGTGTCGTATCCTTGCGGAAGAGCGGCGATGAAGTCATGGGCGTTTGCACGGCTGGCGGCGTCCAGTACGGCTGCGTAGAGCCATCGGTCGAGGGGTTCGTCCCACGCGTGGGCGTCCGCTCCGTAGGCGATATTCTGCGCGATGGTGCCTGCGAAGAGAACCGGCTCCTGCCCGACGTAACCAATATGGCTGCGCAGCCAGCGGGCGTCCACCTCGCGGAGGTCGCAGCCGTCGAGGGTGATGGCGCCGGCGGTCGGTTCGTACAGCCGCAGCAGCAGCGCGGCGAGGGAACTCTTGCCGGAGCCGCTGCTGCCGACCACGCAAGTACAACGGGAGGGGCGGATCTCAAGTGTGAGGCCGTCATAAACGGGAGCCTCCGGGCGGGCAGGGTAAGTGAAGGAAACATCAGAGAATTTAATATCCCACTTGCACTCAGAGGGAATGACCTTCGTTGTGTCCTCAGTCATCTGCTGTAGAGCCTCCTCCTTGTCAAGAATATCATACAAACGCATACTCGCACCGTAACCCTTGTTGATCTCCGTTACAAGGTTAGTAAGTCCCATTAGACCAATACCACAATATACCGTGTAGAGAACAAAGGAAAAGAGAATACCAGGCGATAAATGATTCGTTGCAACAAGCATTGATCCTGCCCACATTATTCCATATAAAGCTCCATAACCCAAAAACTGCAATGAGGCACTGTATGAGGCATTGTAAAACAACATACGTTTACTGATTTGAAAGACAGTATCCACATTTTTCTCATACCATTTTAATTCTTCAATTTCACGGGCAAATGCTTTTACAGTACGAATATTTCCCAATCGTTCGCTTGCAACAGCTCCCTTCAATGCCAGAGCATCTTGCATTTGATGTTGTAAACGTCGTACATAACGACCATAAACACCAGCAAATATTGCCAATGGTGGAATCATACCACATATCACACCCGTTAAAGTAGGAGAATAGTAAAGCATAATCCCAATACTTCCGATAGTTTGAAGCGTATTTTTGCTTCCTTGCATTACAGCCTCTGTAAGTGAGCTACCTACCACATTACAATCCATTGAAAGTCGTTGTACCAAAGAACCGGTACTATTCGCTGGGGAATCAAAAAAAGCAGCTGGTTGTGAAAGGATACCACGATAGAGTCTACCACGTAGACGTGCAATAACTCGCTCCCCAGCGTAACCAATACAAGCCAAACGCATAAAGTTACCTACACCAGCGACAGTGAACCATCCAATTAATTGCATAGATGTACCAAGAGGCATTTCTCCTTTACTGGCAAAATCAATAAGTTCGCCAAAACCAGCAGGAATTGCAAGTGTTGCAACGCTATAAAGACCCACACCAACTACAGCTGCAGCAATGTATGGAGCCTCTTCCCGTGCTGAACGTAAATATCTCCAGAATGCACCTTTTCTTTCAACAGGTTCAGTTAAATATAAAGGCGAAAATGAGTTCTTGGGTCGCTGAGCCGGTGTGGCTTCTCCAAAATCAGTTTGTAGACGAATGCTCGATGCAAAGCGTTTGAGGCTCCACATCGCCTCGGGATGCCGAGGACGCCAGATATACTGTGAAGGCCGCATATCTTTGCAGCCAAATATCTTTTAAAAACAGAAAAAAAAAAGAAATAATAATTATTTTAATTATAAATAAATACAAATAATGATACCATATATAAAGAGATGAGGCAATAAATATCAAGACATAGATTTTACAAACCAAAAAAATAAAAATACAGTGAAAAAGAAAAGAATATTTCTATTCTCACATTTTATCTCGGAGAGAAAACACTATAAGAAGAGAAGAAAAAAAAAAAAAAACGATAATGAAAACCAAAAATAATAATAATAATAATAATAATAATAATAATAATAATAATAATAATAATAATAATAATAATAATAATAATAAATAACAAAACTAATAATCATAACGAGTAGAATGCAAGAAATAAATAAATATGACTAATTCCCTTCTATTCTATTTGAGAGTTCCATCAACACAGATGAGTCTACAGGGTCCCAGAATGAGAATGAACCCATTAAATAATCGTTACGCACCAAATGACTAACTCTCATGTCACGTCCAAGAAGAAGATACTGCAACAGTTGATATTGCTGCAAACAACGTCCAAAGTTTACGAAACCCTGTTGAGAATTTTTCTCACTTTCTAGTTCCACTAAATCCTCAATAAAAACAGCAATACAGGGAAACTGGGGTCGTTTTCCTTCTCGCATAATATCCTTCAAAGTTTTGTATCCTGCATCTGGGTTAAGGAGATTTTGCAATTTGGTAGATACCTCAATCACATCACGTGGAAGTGATGACCATGTATGGTGTAAACGTTCAACTGATGGATCCCGAAGACCACCGTAAACAGCAACTAACATATCCCAGTTTCGCATTTTATGGAGTTCATCACATACAAAAATCATAGCAGCTAAATTCAGTGAACGACGTTCTAAATCTCCCTCAGAAACAATAGCATACGATACCCAATTATTCACTTGAGAAAAAAAATCTCGATATTGAATAAAATTTGGTATGAAAACTGCTTCCTCTGTATTCCAGCGCTGACCAATAAGTTCTGGTCCTGTAAGATAATGATGAACATGAGATGTTAAAATGGTAATCTGAGCCGCAATTTCACGTGGAGAGTATTGAATCAAGAGTGATGTAGGTGTTTTATCCACATTCCGTACACCAGGAAGCACATGAGGTACACGGGCATGTAAAGCCGTTCGATCATTATCCTTCATCAATTGCAATAAGGCAGCAGGTGCGCCATGAGAATCAATTTTCTCTTTAGCTCATCTTTCTAAATGATAGTAAAGTGTATCATCTGCAAAATCTTCATAGTAGTTCTTTACCCAAAACTCAAGTACCCAAAATACTATAAATTGGATATCTCGTCTTAGTTCTAAGAAAATCTGATGCTCAAGCGGACTCCGATCACTTTCACCAGACTTTGTTAACAAAGGTACTTCATATCGCTCAAGGATTCGATCAAGTAGTTCTTTAGGTGATACAAATTGACGGTACGTGAGGAGGAAAATACGGGTATATAATTCCCGTTGTGGATTACGTGGATCTGTCATCATTAAAACTAGTCGATGAAATGCTACAAAAGATAAATATGTCGTTGATGGCATCAATAACGCAGCATCATTTGCTTCTCTAGATACTACATGGTTGCTTCCTAATGTTGACGTTGCTTTACTACGGTACGATTCACGAACTGCTTCAGGTGATCCAGAACCTTGGTATACGGGTAAAACATTAATAAAAGTAGATTTGCTCTTCATCTCTTGTAACTGAGATTGTTTAGAATTTACAGCAGACAGAGCTTCAGCATTAAGTGGTGCTTGTAGCCGCTTCTGCTGTTTCCTCTTAACACAGGCAAAATCCATCAAAAGATCGTTTCCAGTGAATAGAACACATCGCACCAAGACAAGATCCACATCCGCTTTTGGTCCATATCGATCTCGTGCATAGTGACGGGCGAGTTCCTCCTGTGCATCTCTGTGCATGTCCTCATCCACAAAGAGAGCGAATGGACAAAAACCTTCCATACGCACGTAAAGCCGTACTTGACCACTCTCTACCGAAGCGCCCACCATCAGTAAAAAGGAAAGAAACTTCAATCGTCCCTCTCAATATATATATATATATATATATATATATATATATTTTCTGTTTCTATAGAATAGAAAAAAGAGAGGAGAAAAATGGGAAAGAAAAAGAAAAAAAAAAATTACAGAATGGAGTTACACTCAGTGATGTTGTGCATCTGTGGTAGAGGAGAGTGATGTACAACAACAAGAACAAATATATCAGACATTTTTTTTTTTTTTTTTACGTAAGCCAATTTGTTTCTTTTTTTTATTTTTTTAGCAAAAAAAAAAAATAAAAATAAAAATAAAAAATAAAATAAAATAATCTCAAACTCTCTCACACACTCTCTCTCTCTCTTGATGTTCATGGGATTTTAGAGAACCTCTTCAATCAAAGAAAACGGGAACTCGTCTCGTGTATGAATGCGCAGAATGAGTTCCTCCACATGTCTGCGTCTCCCTGCGGTTTCTCTTGTTGCCAGTGCCATCAGCTGTCGGGTGGTATACAAATGATGTGTGGTGCTCACAAGCTCCGCAATGCTGTCAGGGGAAATAGTGATAGCAGATGTATAGCGCTGCACATAAGCCGCAATGGCACGGCGCGGTAATGTTGGCTGAATACAAGAGAGTTCATGAGAAATATACTCCGCATCATGGAGAAGTTGATGTGCACCGTGTGCGTTAATTCTGCGTATACGTGAGAGTCCCTCAACGAAACCAACAGCTACGTTTAAAATGAGATGATTAATAAGACATCGTAGACCTGTACTTGGAATTTCGCGATACACTTCTCGCAACTCCCTCAAGCATTGCACAAGTGCATCTAAAGTCTTTCTTACAGGGAATGAAAAATTACTTCTTCCCCGCACTTGAGAAACTCCTGTGGGAAATTTTTCCATAGGACCATCCCAATGAAATTGCTCCATTGCGGTTGCAAGTAATTCCGGTGATAAGAGCTGACTACTAATAACATGTAAACCATGTTGATTAACAAATGTACACAAGCGTCCTATAGAATCTTTTAAAGATGCCAATGAGGTAAGTTGCTCAACTGGTAACAAAGGGTTTAAAGAAGTAAGCATAACCTTAAAGATTAAACCAACAGAAATCAAACTACATAACCCTGTTGTTCGTTCCATTGCTGCAAAAAGGTATTGTCGACTATTTGCTTTACTCCTCCATACTAAACATGGACTTGACTCAAGCATTTCCCATGGGATCGATCGTGGTAAATAGTTATTCCGTAATTGACCTACAAATTCCTTTACTTCTGCATCCACATTAGGAGATCGGAATAACCATTCCTTATCGCCAGAAACAAAGTATACTATAATATACCATACGTAGAAGGCCACAAGAGTGAGATTTACACGTACAAGTGATAAAGCTATACGTCGAAGTACTTGTGCATGTTTGGTATTTTCAATCATCATTTTTGCCAACATGAGAGTAGACAAAGTAAAAACTCCATCAACATTATCTGGAGAAAAAAGTTTAAGACCTTGATTTGCATCTAATGGTAATGCCTCAGGTCCCATTATATCTACACTAAGAAAAGGACTAAGTGGAATCGTATTTTCCTCCATCTCGCCCACAGTGTAGTGGAGTCTCAAATCATAACTTCCAACTTCAGAATAGGAGAATCGACCAGGCGGTACAGAGAGAGACATTGCGGCTTCATCCATAGAGGCATCAGAGTCTTCACAGGGAAGAAGTGCATGAAGTGGTGGAAAGTCCTCTGCAACAGTACTCATCGCAACACCCAAGTCATTTCGTAAAAGTTGTATTAAATTATCTACTTGATTACTTGCATATTCTTGTTTGACGAGAAATGCCAAACGCGTTTCCATTTCGTTTACAATAGTATCGGCGAGAGTATCACCAAATGGTAAAAGTGGTCGACATATCTTTACAAAATAAAATAACAGACGATAAGTTAATAATAACTCCAATATGGTCACACATTCTAATGGTAAATGTGTTTGATATAATTGAACAAGTTGTAATGCTTTCTTAACAACATTTACTCCAATAGAAGTGCAGTCATGATATGCTTTTGAAACCGATAAAAGAATAGAAACTGTTTTTTCTTTTGGATTTCCAAAACTGAAATTTTTGATAGTAGTGAATTCATCACCTAATATTTTTTCAAATATTTCTTCTAATGGGAGACTATTATTCATTATTTTCTCATTCCCAGAAAATAAGGAAATGAGTGTCTCAAGAAATCGTTGAAATACCAAAACTACACGTAAAAAGGAACTTATATGAGAAAGTAACTCAAGAGTAGAACGATACACTTCTGAGGGAGAAATACGCTCAGCCCATCGGCTCACATTACATTCATCATTAACTTTCCCCTTAAGAGCACGTTTTACTACCTCATATAACTCTTCTACTATATAGGACTCCATAAGATAAACTGGTCTCTTTTCCCAAGTATCTCCTTTATTATTATTATTATTATTATTATTATTATTATTATTATTATTATTATTATTATTATTATTATTATTATTTCTGTCAAGAGATGAGTAAACTGTATTCATTTCCCAACAGCATAAAGAGTATATTCCATAAACTAAACGTATCGCTAAAGAGACCATGTCGTTTGACCAAATCATATGATTCTCTTGTAGTAAATTTAATAATTTAGAGAAATAACGTATTAATGACATTTTTACCACTTCTGCACCGTGATTGGAAAGGTAATGATGCTCTTTAAAAACTAATACACCAATAGTCGATTTCAAACATAACAATTTAATTCTTTCAGATCCATCATCATTCGTCAAACATTTCTTTGATTGATTTTGCAATACATCTAAGAGTTGTATAGACTTAACAAAGTGACCATTCTGTAGATGTGAATATATACTCTCTGTTCCTTCATATATATTTACCATCATTTGAAGCATATGAACAAGCGTTGTCAGATTATCATAACGTCGTTTTAGTCCCAACACCTTCACAGCCTCAGAAACTGTTTTTTTCTGATGTTGTACCTGTCGCTGTGTAGATTGACATTCCACAAGACACTCATCCATGGCATCACATAAATCAAGAAGTTCAGGTACTGCAGATAAATAAAATTTTGCTTTTCCGCATAACTCACTTTCATGATTAATAGCCACATCATCTGGGAAATCATCATAAAATTCTTTTTCATAATTTTCGTCTTTCTTCTCCAAAACTCTTCCACTCCTAGGATCAGAAGAGAGTATCATTTGTTTAAATGATATTTCTAATAGAACAGCTGTCTCACTCATCTTACGAAGTCTATCTGTGTGTATTGTCTCTATGGACGAAAACATATCATCTGTCCATGCAGGTAAACTGTTAATATAATGTATAATATCCAACCTAGAAGCCTCAGCAGATGACCACTCTGCTGCAATTTGGAGAATTAGTTCCAGTGTAAGCGGTTCCTCATCAGAAAAGAAACTTCCTTCCACCTTTGAGGACAATGACGAAGTAGTAATAGTAGTAGTAGTAGTAATGGATGGGTCAAACTGTACTTCTCTCGCATAATCTCCATTTGAAGAAGAAGAAGAAGAAAGAAAAGGAATGCGACGAAGTTTTTGTTTCAGTTCCCGTCGTAGTGTGCGATGTTGGTTTGCCTCTTCCAATAAGAGAGACGCGTACCACTCTAAAGGATCATTAGATTCTGTTATCGGCGTGATAGTGAAATCAGTTGACTCGTGATCATTTTCCTTATCTTCTACAGAATAGAAATTATCACCGTTACTGCTGCTGCTTCTGCAGTCTTTAGCCGAGAGAAGTCCATTCATCCTCGTCATTCTGGCGTGTTCGTCACTGTGTCGACACCACTCCTTGTCGTTCTTCATCAAATTTAATAAGAAACTCCACAGAAGGCGGTGAAAAAAAAAAGGAATATTCACTCTAATACTTTTTCTCTTCCCTTATTTCCTTTCCGAAATCCCAACACGGGCAGGAATAGTATTTCAGAAATCAGTATCCCTACTACCAGCCTCTGTGCCTTCTATCTGGTCTAATAGATCATGAACAAAAGTAAACAACAAAAAGAGAGAAAGAAAGAGAGAATAAAAAAAGCAATAGAATGAAAAGCAATTTAATAGTTTTATATTCAATATTATTTATCAGCAATAAATAGTAGAGAAATTCATGGTAGCTGTATCATGAAGAAGAAAGCACAGTTAAGAACACATGCTGGCAAGACGAGTTGCCCCTCACGCAAATTCTTCTTTTTCTTGATCCCTTTTACTTTCTTTTTTTTTTTTTTTTCTTCGGGAGAGGGTAAATGGGGAAGTGTGTAACGTGAGTATTTAAAGGGAAAAGGGAGAGATCAATATTCCTTTCCTTCCGGTCACTGCCGCAGCTACTGCCGCGTCTGCGCCACTCTTTTTTCATTCAGATATATATATTTTTTCCCCCTTCTCATACATGAACAAGTTCATTCTCTCTTTCTCTTATATATATATATATAGTGCAAACATAACAAAAAAAGAAACAACAACCAGAAACAAAAATGGACGCAGCTGAAATTGATTTTTTTTTTTTTTTTCGGTTCTCACAAGTAGACTCAAGCGAGAACCTTGGACAAACGAAAAAAAAAAAATAACAGTCGCCCTAACCAATGTGAATATCAATAATCTTCTTTTTACTTTTTTTTTCTTTTATTGTTTCTGCGTATATCATTCTTCATCTCATAGCGGCATCTATATCACTGTTTCTTTTTTTTCATAGTTCCCACATATCTTCATGCTGTGTAATATTCCTCCCTTATCTCGTTTACTCATTTTTTTTTTTCTTTTCACTCACGCCACGAGCGCTCCCTCTACCTCTTTCTCTTCACTCATGCGAACATCCTTACATGCTGCTTGTACCCCTCTTTCTGGATGTTTGCTTCTTCTTCTTGTTTCTGTGTTTTTCTTCAACCTTCGCTCATGTTTTTCATCTTTTTACTTTTTTTCCTCAGGCCATTTTTTCCCCTCAACATGCTAGACAGCACGAATTGGAGGAAAAAAAAAAAACATTCACACACATAGAACCATAGAGAGAGAAGTAACAAAAAAAAAAAGAATCAAGTATCGTTTTACTCTCTTATTTACTGAAAATCCATCATTTGATTTTTTTTTCTCTATTTTGTCTTTTTGGGGGGTTTTATTTTTTTATTTTTTTTATTTTTTTTTTTTTTTCAGTGCATGACGTTCTTTTCTCTTGTTGATCGCTCTGAGTATATCATGAGAACAACTTTCCTGACATGCTCAGTTGAAGAAAATGAAGAAATAAAATAAGATCTTTTACCACGCACTACAAAGTTGATTAGCGTCAGTGCAAGAGACGCCGTGTACATCTAAATTCCACACATGTATGTATGTCTTGCACGTACCTGTATAAATGTCTGAGTGAGTGAAAGAGAGAGAGAGAGAGAGAGAGAGGGAGGGATACAAAAAAAATTTGTGCCACCCTTAATTCTTCACAAATTGCTAATGGTCGTTCTGGCCGTTTCTTTTCGTTACACTTGTATTTCATTTTTTTTTCTTTCTTTTTTTTTTCTTTGTTTTTTTCTTTTTTTTCGGTTTTTTTTCCTTTTTTTTTTTTCTCTTTTTTCGGAGGGGGGCATGTTTTGTTTAATCCATCATCCTCATCTCCTCACATCATCATCATCATTGCCATCACAATCAAAAGCATTGCCGTGCTTTTATATTCTTTCGTGAACTCACACTCACACTCACACAGGCAATAATAGCTAACCAGAAATGAGCACGCCGTCAAACACAAATGTAAGAAAAAAAAAAAAAAACACAACAGGAGCAGCAACAGCAAAAATCTTGTAGTATTCATGAAAAAAAAAGAACCGAAAAGAAGAAAAACAGTAACAATAACAATAACAATAATAATAATAATAATAATCACAGTAAATAATGGTAATAATAATGATAACAGAAATGAAATCTGATTGAATGGAAGCTCATGAGGGGAGCACAAAAGCAGGGGTGAATCGAGATATTTTTTTTTTATTCGTCCCATTCAATCTCACAATAAAACGAGAGAATAAAAGAGAAAAAAAAAGCCGCAGAGGTCCACTGATGACTTTAATCATGCCATCTGTTGTGAAAATAGAGGATTTAAAAAAGAAAGAAAAATATTGGAAAAGAAAAAAGATATGACCATCAGCATAAACAGTAACGCTGAATGGAAAAAAAAAAGGAATGAAACACCGCATTACTAAGAAGAAAAGGGTATTCCTCTTTCTTAACTTCTCTCCTTTATTGTCTCTTTGCGAATATTTTCCATTTTCTTCTGGATGCCTTCGTTCCTTCACATTTCTTCGTTTTTTTTTCCTGATATTCAACCCTTTTTTTTTTGTTGTTGTCTTTTCTTTTTTTTTTTCTTTCCTCCGCTCCTCGTTCCCCTCCCTCTTCTTCCATATGTAAGTGAATAGATCTTTCCTCTTCATACCACAGGTCATTTTGCTGTTGCGTTTCCGCCCCTTCTCTTTTTTCGCTTGTTTTTTATTTTGGTTTTGATTTTTTCTTCTTTTTTTTTTTTTTCTTTCTTTCCTTTCCCCATTCCCTCTCCCTTTTTCTTTCATTCTTTCTTTGTACGTTCTTTCTCTTCTCCTGCCTTCCCGCATCACACAAATAATAAAATAAAAAAAAAAGAATCTTCTCCACACCGCCACCCTCACGCCCTCACACAGAGAGAGAGTGAAGGGGCCGGGTCCCCGCTCAGTTGTAGCGGCCATTGTAGCGGCCACGGCCTCCACGGCCACGGCGCGGGCCCCGCATGCTGCCGACCATTTCGCTGCCGAATGTCTCCGCGTCGGCGCGTTTCATTCCCTCGCGGTCGAGGCGCAGCGTGCGGTCCTGTTGATCGCAGGAGATGGTGTCGAAGAAGCTGTTGCGGTCGTACGCCTTGCTATGGTTCTTCGCGTCCTCTCGGGCCTTCTCGAACTCGCTCTTCTTTTTCTCAAACTCCTCGCGGCTCTTCAAGAAGTCAAAGTCATCCTTGAACTCCTCCTTCGCATTTCCAGTGGCGGGGCGGAAGTCCTGTCCAGTGTGGGAGTCCACACGCCGTGCGTTGCGGTACCCCACAACACGGCCGCCGCCACCCCCGTGGCCGCCGCGACGATAACCGCCGCCGCCGCCGCCGTACCGCTGCTGTTGTTGTTGGTGCTGGTGTTGATGTTGATGTTGGTGTTGGTGCTGCGCATTGGCATTGCCGCCGGAGGAGGAATAGCGTTGGGCGGTTGGGGAGGTCTTCGTCGTGCTTTTACGAGCGGGAAGCGCGGTTACAATGGCAGGATCCATTATAGCATTATTGGCTCCCTCAAACACGGTAAGCTCTTGAATATCAGAGCCGCGGAACACAATCTGCTCAAACAGCTGTTCAGCTGCAGGCACCTCCACTTGGTTCTTTTCCTTCGCACGACCCTCTGTACCAAAAACACGAACATTGGTCAAGCTCACAGTATTACCCTCGCTATCAATCTGGCCGAGTGTGCCCTCATAGCGGATCTGGCTGTTCGTGATGAGGGTAATCACACTACCTATAGCACGTGTTGTGGACATTTCGTCGACACTTGTTTTTTTTTTTTTCTTTTTTTATATTCTCTTCCTTTTTTTTTTTTTTTTTCTTTTTCTCCTTGTATTCTTCTTTCTTTTTCTTAACCTTTCTTCTTCGATATGGGTTTTCTTTTTCTTCTTCTGTTTACCCTACCGTTTTGCTGGCGCAGTTTTCGAAACTCTTGAAAGCAAAAAGTAAAAAAAAAAAAAAAATGAAGGCAAATAAAGAAAATAATGGGAGATAATATATATTTTTTTTCTCTTTTATTTTTTTCATTTTTTATTTATGTTTACACTTGGTCATATACTATTACTTTTCTACAATTTACAAAAATTCCATTCAATACTCAAACTCATTTTATAAGTTACATACGTGATGCAGACGAAGTAACAGAACGTGCAATAGACGCAGCTTCATCCTCTGTTAACTCCTCATACAAAAGCACACTGTATAATGTACTGCCTACAGCCTCACGAATGTGTTTAGCAACTTTCTCCAGCGATACAGGAGCTGTAGTAGCAGCAGTAGTGGTAGTAGCATCAGCTGCTAAAGAAGAAGAAGAAGAAAACGAAAGACTGTCACCGCTCTCAGTAGCATGTCGCTCCTGCAACAACGCCCCGCGGCATAGCATTTGAAGTACTCGACAACAATCAAGAACTAATGTGGGATTCATGTTCTCCAGTAAACGAAGATATTTTAAAAGCGTAAAATGGGCACTACGTCGACCAATAATATCCAATACAAGTCGTTGTAAAGCCTCGCAACGTGAGTCAAGGAGTATAATGTTCACTGCAGTACTACCGAAAGAAATCTGATGACGTCGAATAATCATCGCAGCACGATGATCGTCTTCCGCCTCAATAGCCAAGCGATCCTCATCTACTACATCAAGGCATCGTGTAAGAATAGCAGCTGTAAATTGAATATTCTTCGCCACCATTGTTAACAACTCTGTTCCCTCCACCCGAAGACGCAAGTCATCGTGAAGTAGTAGAGAATATAAAGCCTCTAGTAGTAATTGTTGAACCCCATCAGAGGAACTACCAGGAACTATTCCTAGAATTGGAACCATACCTTTATCCTCTAATGCATCTCTCCCAATTGCTTGGCTATACTCTTTATCCCGTGATGACTGAAAAGTACGCAAAATACGTGCAGCTTGAAGTTTAGATTCCACTGTACTCGTCTTTGATAGTATCAATCCTAACAATTCAGTGTGTAGACGAAATGTCACAGACTGTTTATTTCCCTCACCTAGTACAAGAAAAAGAGCTGCAAGGAGTTCTAATATCTCCGCATCATCTTCGCGTTGTAATGCTTGAATAAGTAAATGTATATCTTCATCATCACATAGCATTTCACGATATACACGTCCTGCATTTGCTATATAAAGAAGTAGTAATGCAATTTCACGGCGATCCTCACGTGCTAGATTACATGTACCTAAAGTGTCAATGAGAGTCTGCGCACCACCAATTTCCATGAGAGACGTTAAATAACGCACACCTCGTATAAAAAGTGATATGGCACTAAGCAAAGGTTGAAGAGTAAATCCTAACTTACACGTTAATCGAAACCATGCAGTAATGCGTGTAAAGAGTAGCATAGATGAATCACCCAAATCTTTTTCTAATCTATTAGTATTACTTGAAGAATGAAGTGTTGTTAAGGCCTCAAGAATACGTAGACGAACAGTACGTGATCCACGATCCCATTCTCCTACCCATACTGCAGCACGGCGCCCTGCTATATTTGGACTCATCTCAGCAAGAAGAGCTTTTTGTTTCTCCCGTTCATTTTGACGAGAGCGAATAGCAGAGATTTTGTTTTTTGTTTTTGTAGGAGCGACAGTTTCAGGGACATCAGCATCTGCTTGTAAAATACTATTTTCAGCAGTATTATTCTCATACACTGAATCACCGTAGGTAGATGTGGCACGGGATCGTGCAGTTGAACGGACGCTTTGTCGTCTTGTCGTACTTGCAGTGCGCATCCCCTCTAAACAAATATCCTAACAATTACAGAAAAACAGTAGAAAAGAAAAGAAAAAAAAAAGGAGAAAAAAAAAATAAGTATTTAATCATTTCAACAAATAAGTTGCATTTTGAGGTTCAGAGTATGGTATTCTAGCATACTTCAAGAATGTACATATAAACGCACACCGTTGCTTTTCACTATGACACCCTTTCTTTTTTTTTTTTTTTTTCATTTTTGGTTCCACTTTGATGTCACTCGTCCTTCTTATTTTCTTTGATTCTGATCTCCTCTTCTCACTCTCACTCTCAGTTTCCTCATCTATCTCAACGCGTCGCCGCGCGCAAGGAACGCTTTATGGGGCGCACCATCAACGATATGACCAGCATAGTCAGTCCTGCGACAAGCACCATCAACATCCCCACCTGAACTTGAATGAGTTGCCGTTTTGATTTTGGCAGCATCTGAAACTGTAGGCGTTGTCGGTCTACCTCAGAGGTGTGTGCACGTAAATAGTAGGGAGATCCCGGGTCCTTCAGTATCTCGTGGGCCCTGCAGACGCGGTCCAACATCTTCGCATCGGGGCTGGGACCGTTCGGCGCGTACTTCGACTGCAGCCGGTGGAAGGCGGCGTCAATGTCGTCAACAGTGCAGTCCGAGTTGAGGGCGAGAACGTCGAGGGGGTCAAACTGCGAGAGAAACGCCTCCTGATCGCGTTTGCCGGGAACCTGCGCGAACTGACCGCGTCGCTGCAGCGTGAGAGCCACCGTGTGTAATGTGTTTACACTGTGTGGGATCTGTAGTGTGTTTACACTCTGAAGATGACGGGAGAGCCCACAGCGGGCGATGGCACGCGGGGCCCACACACTCATATGTGTTTCTCCTCCGCTGCGCTTCTACTACTTTTTTTTGTTCTATTTCTCTTCTGCTACTCAGGCGGTAGTCGGCGTGGGCGTAGGAGTACTAGTCCCTCTTGCAGGAAGGGAAATAGGACAATCTCCTCGCACCAAGGTGAACTCACAAAGGTATGTACGTATGTATGTATATGTATGTATAGGCAGAATAGCCAATAAAATTTAAAAAAAAAAAATAAGAAAAAGAAAAAGAAGGTGGATAAAAAAAGTAAAAAAGAAAGGGAGTAATCATTCTATTAACAGATTCATTACCACGTACAGGTACTTCAGTAGAAACAGGAACACAGTCAAAGGAAAATGTACAATATATATATATATATATATATATATATATATATATATATCACTCCAATATCACGCCAAAGGCACTACAAAAAAAAAAAAAAAAAAAAAAAGATTTCAGACGTTGCAAGCATAGAGGATAGTTGGCTTCCGTCCATCTCGAAGCTCTAGACTAACCAAATCTTTATCGAAGAGTTCAATAAACTCCTCATTATCTGCTCGGCTTTTATCCTGTGCATGTCGTCTATACTCTTCTAGAATAGAAACCAAGCTCCAGCCTTGTAATTTACGTAGGCATCCACAAACAATGCCTGTGCGGTATCTTCCCATGCTGCATGTAAGCAATAAAGGGTAATTAATAGGATCGAGCAGCACATGTAAAATGCCTACAACAACAGGCTCTGAAAGAGTCATACTCCCGCTATGGTAACCCACGCAGGCCATATCATCACCAAGAGTGTTCGATCTAGAATCTTCAAAAAGAGGACAGACTGTTCGGATATCGTTCTCTCGCAGCCATCTCAGAAAGCACTCATCATGGGTATCTGTCAGCAGCACGCAAGTGCGTAGCTTGAGAGAGGCCAAGAAACCATAGTGGGTGGGCTCTGGCGCACCACAGCGATATATACGCTCCTCCACGTATCCAAAGTTGGGCGGTACAATCTTCATTTAGTTAATACAGTGCAGTAATCTTAACAAGACATGCTAAATAGGGGGAAAAAAAAAGAAAAAAAAAATAAATTAACACAGACGCAAATATATATAAATAACAATAACGTTTTTCTTTTCCTTTTTTTTTTCTTCTTTACGATGTAAGGGTGAAGAGATTGGGGACTGCATATATGCTTATTTTTACTACTCAATGGAGACGCTACTCGAAACATCTTAACCATGTGTATCGATGTACAGTAATGAAAAAAAACCCAAAACGCAGACGAATAACAGCAAGAACAAGAGCAAAAAAAAAAAAAAAAATATATAAAAAAAAATAAAGAAAACGACATTTAAAATGATGGAAGATTACTTCCGAATTGTCCTTGCTGTCTCTGTCGCATAGATGCATATGTGTCATTACCACCATCTGCTGCAACCTTTGTTTCGTGCATATCGCGTTTCCGTCGGATTCGTTCATAGCTCTCCTGAATCGCACACAATGTTAACGACATTTTTCTGTCTGTCCTAAGTGTTTCCCGCAATTTCATCATAAGTTCATCATCATGTTGCGTAGACTCCGTCAGGGCGTTCATACTTCGCGCCACGCCGCCCTCCGTGCGGAGCGTCTCCATCCACTCTGCATCATTTCGCATCTCGCGCTGTATTGCCTGCAGCCACTGCTGATCGCAGCAGGCCTGCAGCACCTCGTAGTAGAGCTGCGGGTTGAACATCCGGCCGCAGGCGGTGGGGAACGGACTGTGGAGCCCGACGCTGCTCTGCAGGTGGTGCCCGCGCCGCAGCTCCCACCCCGCCTGGCCGCAGCCACTCCTCACTTTACTGTCGAGATCACTGCCGCCGGCGGGGGAGGAGTCGGTGGGGAATTGTCCGGGAATTACACCGCGCCGCTGGGGGGAAAGAGCCAAACACAGTGTACATCTCAGCACGCCTGCATGGAGTGCCCGCCGCATGGTGAAAAGAAAAGAAAAAAAAAGAAAACGGAATTGGTTTATTTATTCCTTCCTTTATTTCTTTCAGTCTCGAACTCTAAGTATGAGTATTTCTTTTTTTTTTTTTTTTCTTTTTTGCCTAAAGAAGGAAAAACAATTAAAAAATGAGGGAAACATAAATAAATAAATAAATAAATAAATAAATAAGAGAGACAAGATATTTTTTTCTAAATGGGAATATGTTTTCTTTCATCTCAGCAAGAATGAATACAACGTATTGTTCTGTTTCTTCAGATGATTATTATATATTTTTAGTGACACAGGTGTATGTATTTTCTTATACACATACCCTCCTCCCTTCCTCTCAGTGTTCACTGGCATTTATACTTCTTTTCTCTGGATTTAATGGGATTAAATCTTATATAAAAACATATGCACATGCACAGGAAGAGACACCAATCCCAAAAATTCTTCTCTTTCTCTCTTTCTTTCAGGAGAATAATCATTTAACTCACATTATTTTCTTTTTAACTATTTTCTCTAACCATGCATTATGAATATTTCTCTTACGTTGTCCTCTTTTTTTTTTAATTCCCCACACAAATATGTGTGCAGCCATTTTTATAAACACAGATGTCTGTATACGTATACTTCTCTGTTTAAGGAAATATACATACATACATACATACATATAGATATACACATATACACACACGTCCTGTTCTCTGCAATGGCATTTAAGAGAAATCGAGTACACGTAGACAGTTTATCACTACACCACTCTTAACAAGGAAAAGTACAAATACACACAAACAAACAAATAAACACAGAAAGAGAGACATAGAGAGAAAGAGAAAAAAAAAATACACCGATAAATGCGATTCTATCATTTTCAAAAGAAAAAACAAGAATGCTGCCAATATCAAAACAGCATACGCACATGTGATGATCTCTCTTCCATACAAATAGACACCAGAACCATACGGAAATCATGAGAAAACAGAAAAATAAAATAAAATAATAAAAGAGACGTATTTAACTAAAAAGACATCATTCTTTACACTTAAATGTCACCGTCATTTCTATTTTTAATTATTATTCTTCCATTTATCATTCCATTCCCTTCATTCGTTCTTTTCATTCTTCCTGTCTCCATCGTTGATGGCATTGTTGTGCATAGCACCACTCCTTCTAAAATGAGAAAATGATCGTAATAACTGTCAAAGAGAAAAAAAAAAAAAAAAAAAAAACCACAAACGCTCTTGTGATGATTTAATTTTGCCACTCGTGAGAGTAGGACCTCAATCCTTCCTCTATCCCCATATACAGATACGTATATATATATAACGGTAAAAGTGATGAGGAAATGGGAATGAATGAAGAAGACGTACAAATCACAGAAAAAAAAAGAATATAAAGAACCAAAAAAAAAGAAAAAATTCATTGACAAGAAACATATACAAATAAATAAATAAAATAAAAAATGAATGGAATAACCAATCACCAAGAAAAAAAGGGAAAGAATCCAACTTTATGATTTCTTCTACAATCGCATAAACAGCTGCAATTCCCCAAAGCAATATATGCGGAAAAAGAAAAAGAAATTGAGAAGTGCAACTACAGTCATACAATAAAGAAGTCTTGCAATATACGCATACAACTTTATCAATCGTTCGACTGGTAGATTTATACAAATACATATATGTACACACGTTGACATGTGCATATATGTCTCTCCATCTGTTATTTCATAATAAATAAAATAAAATAAATAAATAAATAATAATAAAAAGCAATTCAATTGACGCAGCACAAAGCGGCCCTTCTGTTTTTTTTTTTTTTTTGTATATATATATATATATATATATACTCCTCTTCTCTTCTCTTTGCGAACATGTGAGTTCCCACGTGTCTTCATTTTTATACTTTCACGGCACAAACCCCTAAAATATTATCATTCCTGCGTGAGTGAGTAAAAGAAGAAGACACACACACACACAGTGTGTATGTATGTGTGTAGAGAGAGAAATAGAGAGAGAAACGATCAACCATCGTTGTTGTTCCTGTTTTTTTTTTTTTTTTCCCTCTCGTTCTTCTCTTTCCGATCATATATGAGTATGAAGATATGTATATTAACACATAAACATAAAAAGAGAAAGAAAGGTGAATTAATTCTTTTTTTTTTTATTATTTCCCCATTGTTTCCTCCAACCCTTCGCACTTCTACTGGAATAGATATAAGTGAAAAGACATATGAGTGAAACTATATATATAAGTAAAAAAAAAAAACATATATATATATATATATATATATAAAACAAAAAATATATATATATAGATAGATATATAGATATATATATAATTCTTTTTCTCTCTCTCGCTATTCGTACTTCATTCGTACCTTTACTCCACACAAGATACCATGCATGGGTAAGCATTCAAAAACATATCTACATTAACCAATTTTTTTTTGTTTTCTTCTGCAATTTTTTTTTTGTTACTTCTTGTTTGTCTACTTTTCTTTTGTTTTCTTCTTTACTTGTGTACATCATATAGATGTATCGTCAAGTATATTTCATCTATTTCCCTTTACCACTTTTTTTTTTTTTTTCCTTCTCTTCACTCATTTGTTTTTGTTTTTCTTTTTCTTTCCTTTTTTGTTAAGATGCACCCCCCAGTGCTCTGTGTGCTCTCATTGACTCCCCACTCTGTTGTGATCATAATTGTTTAGATGTTTTCCACCGCTCTTTCCACTGTTGTTTGTTTGTTTGTTTGTTTCTTCCCATTACTGGAATAATTACTATTATTACTATTATTACTAATTGTTTTTCTTCATCCCTTTTTTTTTTTCCTTCTTTTTATTCTTCACACATCAGATGCGGAGAGAAAAGGAAAATAAAAGAAGAAATTAGTATTCATAATAATAATAATAATAATAATAATAATAATAATAATAATAATAATAATAATAATAATAATAATAATAATAATAATAATAAAAGATTCATCGTTAATAAAAAGATATCACGTCATAATTGATAGAGCAATAAAATAACGGTTACATGTACGTGTGTAGATGCTGAAGAAACACAAACACAGAGAAATAAAGAAAAAGAAAGAAAAAAAAAACCCGCACATCAACAAAAATAAATAAATAATAATAATAATAATAATAACAGCAGCAGCAACACCAGCCGTGGATATATCCAAGCGATCAGGAGAGAGAGAGGGGAGGGGGGAAAAGAGCCTTCAACAAACAGCGTACATTAATAAATAAAGAAAAATAAAAAGAAAGAGAGATATTCAGAGAAAAGAAAACGAATTGAGGTAAAAAAGAAAGAAAAAAGAAAAAAGAAAAAAAGTGGTATCCACCCACTTCCTTATATACATACAAACATACATACATATGTCAACATGTATAAAAGCATACATGTTGCTCTTACATGTATAAAATACAGACAAATATGGAGCACACATGTTTCTATGATGCATGTACATAAACACGAAGAAAAGAAAAAAAAAAAGAAAAAAAAAAGAAAAAAAAGGGAAAAAAGGAAAAGAAAAAACAACAATTCTGTATTCGCCTGAAGAATCCTTCTATACACACAAATGCACTCGCAATAATAATAATAATAATAATAATAATAATAATAATAATAATAATAATAATAATAATTTAAAAAGAAAACAAGTGCAGATATCAACAGGCACCAACAGCAATAATAACAATAACAATAATAATAAAAAAAAAAAAACATAGAACCCCAATAGCGAAAGCACCACCAGGAAAAGTAAAAAAGAAAAGAATCATAACAGGAAGAAAACAACAACAACAATTATGCGGAACGACGAACAAGCAACTAAATGACATCGCCGCAAATCATAAAGCGAACAAAAATGAAAAGAAAAAAGAGAAAAAAAAAGGTATCATAACACCGTCCTTTGTTTTTCAAACCAAGAAGATCCACACAAACACAAACACAGACAGACACGTAGTATCTATCCGGTGAAAGTTTCTGATGGTGTGGTACACCCCCCTTTTCTGAAAACAAACCAGTTATAGATAAAATAAAATAAATAACATAAATAACATAATTATATATATATATATATATACACTCATTTTCTTTGTTTTTCGTTTTCTTCGTTTCTTTGTTTTTCTCCCTCAAAAAAGAGAGAGAGAGAGGAATAAAATCAAGGAAGAAAAGGGAGGGGAAGATGAGGGGAAATTATAAATATCCTCTCAACGTTATATTTCTCTGTTCTTTTTCTTGTGGTATTGTTGTCTTCTTTGATGTTCATTGTTTTTTTTTTTTTTTT